TCGAGATTACGTTGCAACGTGTTCTCCGGAACTCAATGTCATTCTTTGACAAAACTCCAACCGGTCGAATTCTTAGTCGACTTGGTAAAGACACTGATGTCATTGATAATGTTCTACCAACTATACTGCGTTCTTGGATTACTTGCCTCTTTGGGGTATGATATTTTCACGTTGTAAATACTGCGCTTTACAAATATTGATTCTCATCAAAGATTATGAATTAAGTTTGTATTCATATACGCAGTGACAATATTTAACGACGGTTGTAATCATTTACTCATAATTCTGGTCATTCTATTTAGTAAATTTATCATTGAAAAACACAAGCTTTTAAAATCTTTGGAAAAATTAATCAAAATTTAAAATACAATATTCCTATTTGTTAACATTTATAATTGTTTTACTTATAAAAATATATCATTGAGCAAATATTTATTAAAAATATATATATACAAATTTTTACTATAAAATCTAATAGTTTAAGTTTATACTTAAAGATAGACAAAATCTTGTGTTTAGTTTCTATAGTTATGTCTCCTTTAATATAATAAAATAGGTTGTATTGTGACTGTATTTTATTAATATATGTTGCTTGGTAGCTATAGAAATGTCTACATTGAATTTTCATTGTGCAAAGTCGTTGCTTTTATTTATATTTATGTGCAAAATATTTAGCCTGTAGAAGTATATTAATTTATGAATGCTATAACCTTGTTATAAGAGTTTTAATCATTGATATAAATTTTATCTTTAGCAACTTTTTTTTATACAGTCACCGACAATCTATAATATAAAAAACTACAGGGCAATAGTAACATCATAATCAATAAGGTAATGGACACAATTATACAGTCAGTATTTTTATAGGAAAAAATATTGCTTGCGCTTGAAGGTAGTATGTACCTGCTTTCTTCCTTACTATGTATGTAAATCTTTGAATGCTTAATTTGCTTATGTATTTTTCCTTTATTTGTGCCAAGCATGCCTTTCCACAGCAAACTTCACCCCCTCGCATAACATGAGACAGAATAGTGTTTTTATTTGTCTGGTACCATAAAATTATAATTGTTAAAAGATATAGATAAAGTGAACTTCTACTTATTTACGCATATTAGAAGAAAATAGTACTTCCAAATATCCATATTACATGATACAATTTTATATATTTTGTATACAAATTCACAGTAGTAAACAACAACATGTACAGAAATATTAAGTGAAAAGAAAAACTTTACTGAATGCTTTAGATTTAAAAAATTTTGGCATATTTGTACCATTTTCAAGCATTTAAAATGTTATTGAAGTGGTTACAATGAAAGCAAATCATGTCTGATGTTGTAGCGATGGCGAGTTTTTTCTGCGATTTGGCACCGCAGCTGGGCTGCTGGCTGGCTGCTCGCCAGATGCACATAATGATGCTACGTGCTGTGATGCGTGCTCCATTGCCCTTCTTTGATACGACTCCTACTGGTCGTATTACCGCCAGGTTTGCTAAAGACGTCGACGTACTGGACACATCTCTTCCTCAACAAATTTCCGATAGCATCTATTGTTTGTTTGAGGTAATTTTTGAAAATGCCTGAACCAGATTAAGATGATTGGTTGTTATTATTTCCTTTCTATAATCCCCTCAATCATAATTCATTGGATCTTCATGTATCTAGATTTCACTGAAGGGTTGGTATTTCTTGTATAAGTACATCATGGGTATTTATTTATTTGGCAACATCTTATATTAAACAATGTGTTACAATTTCTTTACTTCAATTATAACTTTTTACTAAACTCTAAATAGTGAGTGAAGATTTATAATTGTAAATGATATAGTGTAAAAATATTGTACAAACTGAAACCAAGTATAATTGTGTCCATTCCTATAAATTACAATTATATCTTACTGTGTTATTATTAGTAAATATGACAAAAGTATGCCTGCAATGAGTAGTAGAAAATAATGCAAAGTTCATCGATTAAAATGAATATAGTTTGTGTTCAATTGTGTATTGGTGTCTGGAAACATAGATGTGGGTGCTTCATCTGACACTTTGCATGACCAATTCATGAACTTTTTGTTTCATTTTATGACTGTGAATATGTATTTATGTGTATTTGTTGTGTGAATATGATTATTTGCTATTTTATCCTATGTTTTTCATACGATATCAATTCTTAGCATTTTGTTCATCTTAGTATTGAAAAAAAAAGATCAAAAACCTATTGCAAAGTATTTTTTGTTACTGAATATTACGTTCATATTACAGGTCATAGCTACTTTAGTGGTTATAAGTTTTAGTACACCAGTGTTTATCGCGGTAATAATACCGATAGGTGCAATTTATTACTTTGTTCAACGTTTATATGTTGCATCTTCACGCCAGCTGAAACGTTTAGAATCCGTTGATTTATAATCTACATTCTAATCATGCAGGAAAAATACTAATAAATGTTGAAGTATGTTTATACTATAATATATAATTAATTAAAATATCCTATTTATTAGGAGCACAAATGATTAGGGCATTTGGTGTACAAGAACGATTTATTGATGAATCTGAAAGTAAAGTAGATTTTAATCAAGTGTGCTATTATCCTAGTATAATTGCAAACAGGTACAATTTTTTTCTAAAACTAATAATATCAAATTAATACTAAAGTAAAGATGATTGTATGAAACATAATTTATTATTTTATTGCAGATGGTTAGCAGTACGTTTGGAGATGGTTGGAAATTTAATTATTTTCTTTGCTGCATTATTTGCTGTATTAAGTAGAGATACTATAGAATCTGGTGTAGTTGGTTTATCTATCAGTTATGCTTTGCAAGTAAGATATATATAGTCAGTAATAAGTGAATCTTATTTAGTTTGACTATAAAACAGTTTGTAATAAATATTATCTTCTAAGGTTACTCAAACACTGAATTGGTTAGTCAGAATGACTTCTGATGTTGAAACTAACATAGTAGCTGTAGAAAGGATGAAAGAATATTCAGAAACTCCTCAAGAAGCACCATGGAAAAATCCAGATTATGCACCACCTAATGAATGGCCCGTACAAGGACGTGTCGAGTTTAAAGATTACAAAGTTCGTTATAGGGAAGGCTTGGACCTTGTACTTCGTGGGTTATCATTTTCTGTTAAAGGAGGAGAGAAAGTTGGCATTGTCGGTAGAACTGGCGCTGGCAAATCTTCTTTAACATTAGCTTTATTCAGAATAATAGAAGCAACTGATGGACAAATTTTTATTGATGACATTGACATTTCTACATTAGGACTTCACGATCTAAGATCTAGACTGACTATTATTCCTCAGGATCCTGTTTTATTCTCAGGGAGTTTGAGGATGAATTTAGATCCTTTTAATTGCTATACTGATGACGAAATTTGGAAAGCTCTCGAACATGCACATCTTAAAACTTTTATAAAAAGTAAATACGATTTTATTCGTTTTTATAACAAATAGTGTTGGTAAATATGTAGGGAATATATTACGTTTTGTTTCATTTTAGATTTACCGACTGGTCTTTCACATGAAATATCGGAGGGTGGAGACAATTTAAGTATAGGTCAACGACAATTAATATGCCTAGCAAGAGCATTACTCCGAAAAACGAAAGTACTTGTTCTTGATGAAGCAACAGCTTCAGTCGATTTAGAAACGGATGATTTAATTCAAACAACAATCAGACAAGAATTTAAAGATTGTACGGTACTTACAATAGCTCATAGACTTAATACAATTCTTGATTCAGACAGGTAGGTTTTACAGAATAGTAATGTAGTGTTCTTAAGTATCGATTAATATTAAATGACGAATATTTGATAGGGTCATTGTTCTGGATAACGGACTTATTATGGAATATGATTCTCCCGAGACGTTACTACGTAATTCATCTAGCTTGTTTCACGGTATATCTAAAGATGCAGGCCTTGTAACTTAAATGACGTGCATATCATAAATACTGTACAAGCAATAAAATGATAATAATTTTTAATCTATCATAGAATATATAACAACAAATTATAAAAAGAAATATAGCAATTCATTTATATAGAGAAATACAGAATGTGCTTAGATTTGAAAGAATTGAAGATTTGGTAGTGCAATATTCTTCACTCAAATCTTAATTACATTTTAAATAATGTCAAACACAGCCCATTTGTAAAATAGTACGGATATTTATTACTTAAAGTACTGCCATTTTAGCAGCACATCTTGTGCTAAGTAGTGTAAGTTTTTAAACGTATATATATATACATATATATTATTTTAGTAATTTTAAAAACACGCTGCATCTCAGGCTTACAGGTACATATAAAACTTGAGCAATGTACAAAATATAACAGTATTGTTTAGTTAATTTTACTTGTGTTCAACGTTGTTATATTCACATCACCTTATCTTTAATTTTATTGCAAGAATGATCATGCATGAGAGCAGCATTATTTACTCATACTGTTGATTCGTTTTCTCTCAAAATAGCTATTTTGATATGTAATGTTTGACAAATACGAAGCATCCTAATGTTCTGTAAATACTTCCCTCTAAACTTTATAAATTAAAAATTACAGTTTTGTACAATGCTGAGATTTTGTTTCTATTATTTAATGTTTTAATTTTTTGAAATATTATAAATACACATTGTATATTCACTAGATAAAATAAAAAATTCCGTTAGTGCCATGCAATCTGTAAAAGAATGTAAAAAGAAATGCTTAAATCGCATTTTCTTTATAATTTTTCACATTTTAATGAAAACTAACATTTGTTTAATTTTATAATTGTCTATATTTTAAACTACTTTTAATAGTTATGTTAAATAAGTATTTGTATAAACATGATCGCAATTACTATGGCACTAAGCAGGATATCATGATTCATATTCACAAATAAAAAAAATGTAGGTTCTTTACCTGGAAATAATTGTATTTTTGAGCATATTGTACATAGCAATTTGTACTGGATATTGTTTATATACTTCTATTACGTAGTCTATTTCATAGCACGTTTGTACAAAAAATTAGCTGTTGGAATCGCTAGTATTGTTACTTTGCCTCTTTGTTATACAAGTTTAAATTTTTCAATAAAATAATGCATAGCTCAATTTGCTGATACTTGAACTCTTTATGAAACTTAATATTGAACTATATTATGTCATGTTTTAATCCCAATAAATTCTATAAAAGTGAAATATCTTTATTATATCTTTATTCAATTTGTTTTCTTATTTTTTGTCCAGAATAACATTTTTTATAAAAATATAATTGTTGGTAATTATGACAAAAGTAAACATTACTTGAAGACATCGATTTATTAAAAACAATAACATAATTTTATTTAAGAGCGAGCATAATTTAATTTTTAACATTTGCATTGCACAACTTCATTTAGAATTCACTATTTTTTGTAAAAATGATTTGCAATATTTATTACGTACATAAGTAAAGTAAAATGTTCGACACAAAAATTATATTATTCAAAATTCGCTATATATGAATATAATATACATGTACAAAATATACCATTTTTTATTTAAATTATTCATCAAAATATATGTGTATACACGTATGTGTAGTCAAAATCGTTTCATTCTACATGTATAAACAAATTGCAGTTTGAAATAAACTTTATATTTCTTTAATATCATAGAAAATTATAATAATCTTACAAAGCATCGAGATAGAAGTGAAACATAAATACAAGTTTAAATCAAAGCATGATAACAGTTGTTTCTTAAAAAGAGTAATACTCATATTCTTTACAATCGTACTAAATCTTTTCCTGATATTTTGCCTGGTACAATGGCATCGACATTCTTAAATTAGTGTGTCAATGCTCTTTGTGAGGCTTTTTTATTTGGTTAAATCTTAAAACCAAAAGAATATATACATACACACGTAGTTATATCAAACCTATAAGGTACATATTAATGCATGTAGATATATCCTTTGATACTAATAAATTTATTAATTTAAGGTCAAGTTTGAATAATACACTCAACGCTAACATTATGTACCAGACATTACTCATTCTTTTTATCTGCTTCATTTTTCGGACGATCTTTAATGGACTCTTGTTTTTTGTCATTAACCATTTTAGCTTCCATTTCACCAGAAAAACCAAATTCATTTACTCTAGTATGATCAGTTTTATATATCCATCTTTGGTATAAAAATATAAAGAAAACGATATCATCGCGGAAGCAACCAATTCTATATAATGTTGGCATTTTTATAACAAATGCAAAGATGTCATCAATGAACGTGTTTAAAAATTTGTAAGACATCATGCGCCATGGAAGATGTGCTACGCTTTTTAATTTATAATTAATAAATAATTGTGGTGTCATCATAATAAATCCAAACATTAGTAAAAATCCGAATAGCATGTTAAGGACCCAAGAATACCATCCTTTATGTTCTAAATACATTAACGAATAAATTGCATATCCTCCTAAAAGAGGAAAAAGAGCCCAAGATAAATATTTAAAAGCCAACCTATCGTATTCCTTCGTGGAAGATTCTACATAAGATCCTTTGTCATGGAAACTTATTTTTGGAAGGATACCAAATATTTTTGAGTTCCTATTAACACTAATATCTACGACCTTATCAATTTTCCATATTTCTATGCATAAACCTATTACGCAACTAATCAGGACAACTGTATTTGTATCATTGTCGGTAACATACAATAAAACAATAAGTGACTGGAAAACATTGAAAAATACAGATCGAACGGACAGACCTTCCAATGAATTACGATTGTTCCAAAATTGAATGTCTGAAAAAAAAAACACAAAACAATGCCTTACAATTATATTTAACTTAAGTGTATATTTACAAAGAATTTAACTTACCATTTTTGAATGCTAAAAATTCAAATACACTATGTAATCCTGATACAATTATAGTTAAACCCAAGACATAAGCATTGGTTTCTAATAATGTTTCTTTTAAAGTATCTTCATCATTGTCATCTTCATCTGATGAATCTCCTATATAACAAATATTATTAAAACTCCGTTTATATTTGTAATTAATTTTATCAGTAGAATGACGTACCCATAAACGAAAACGCCCATTTATTCTTCATTGTTTGAACAACATAAATTTGCCACTTATACAATGAAAGTGGTTGATAAGTTAATTGAAGCTCCAGCTCTTTTACAGTATCATTTAAAGGTTGATAGTCTCGTTGCATATTCCAGAAATCATTCATGTATATTACAGGCTTATACAATACCTCGCCAGGTAAAAAATTAATATCTGTTTAAAAAAATAAACATATTAATTATATACACTCACATAAAGATTTAACACACAATAAAAAACTTACATGAATCTAAAGATGGTGGTACTTGACCATATACCCAAACAGTGTGATCTGTTACTAAGTTAATAGTTAAATTTGGGTGCCAATGTGATATATACTCTTGATTCATTATTTCGGCTTTCTATAGTAAATATTTAATATATTTAATTCTGTGTTTGAAAAATATATTTGTAAAACAAGTTGTAGCATATACACACCTTAATTTCTTCTTCAGTTGCAGTAGTTTTACCAGTTAACAGATTGTGTCGTTTTTGATATCTAATTTTTTTAAATTTATTTAACATTTTCCTAGAATATGCCATATAATCTCCTGCATAAATATTCTTCCCTGCTTTAGGATTTGGAGATTTTCCAGTTTTTGTGACATACACATGAAGATATATAGACCCATTATTTTTTAATTGATCAGATGGAATAAAATTATAACTTTTGATCTTTGATCCATCTTTATTTGATCCACTATGCCAATCTCCATATACTAATCCTTGTTCTAACCATACCAATGTTCGTGGATCATCAAATTGCGTAAAATTCTCAGATTCTGATAAATAAACGTGCAAATCAAATATAGTCCCATTTTTAAATATATTTACAGCTTGTAAACGTGCTGGATTGACAGGCCCAGGAGACTGAGAATCAATATCAGTCAGAGATCGTCTAAATAGATAGCTGATAAAATAAATAATAAGGGCACGTATAATTAACGATTTTGTTATTGCAAAAAATGATTCCAGACGAGTAGGTTGATATTTCTTCCTTTGTTCATCAATTTCCGCATTTACCTATACACAAATAGAGAAAATATTTTTCAATAAACAGCTTCCTTAGAATTAAATTTTGATTAAAATTTACGACATCATTCTCGAACTAAACAGGTTGCAGCAGCTATTTACATCACATTTATCATGTCACTATACAGTCTTTTACACATAATAGATAAATTTACAAATTCAACAAATTATATACTACACTGAAAGAACATTTTTAATAATACTGGAAATAAATCTAGTACGTAAGATACGTGGCAAAGAAACTAAATCCGTTAGCTTTAGACAAAATACGATAAATGTTTTTAACGAGGAAACGAATTATACAATAATAAATTATAAGACAACATAATTAACACACATCTCTTTCCTCGTTGTTCTCTGTAGAAACTAATTCTCCATTTTGTTGATTATTATCCATGTTTTCTTTGATATCTACTTCCTTACGATCGTGAGTATCATTTTCAGCACCCACCATTTTTGTGTTCAGATTGTTTCCCATGTATTTCCTTCACATTTTCAGAGGGAGTTACAGGTACCGGATGTACGATTATTTCTTAAGTCACGTGCTTCATGACACTGAACTTGAGTTACTGTACCTTATTGAATAATGTAAAAAATATGTAATGAAATATATTTACAAACTTTTGTACCAGAACTGTATTTATTATACATATATATAATACATAAATACATTTTTTTCATACA